AGAGGTAACTAGATTGGGCTTCCGCCCGCCCCCTATCAAGAGGAAGGACAAGGGCAAGGCACTCGATGATTGAAGCAGGAGGGCGCCTACAGCAGAGTCTAGAGTGCGACCTGAATACTCAAAAACACCTACTTTCAACGACTGGCGTGCAATGGTTAGGTCGGGCATGTCCTCCTGCAGGCGGGTTCAGGACAAAACAACACTCGAAACATACTCAGACATCATGTCTGAGTATGTTTCGAGTATGACTGGGGACGATGCTTCTACTGTGTTTGGCCATTGGCCAAACACAGTAGAAGCATCGTCCCCAGGCTATGGCTCGACTACTTTGGAGTATCCCTCCTGTCAAAAGGCATGCCCGCCTTAATGCACATGTTGCCCGCATCGCACCGAGCCGGGGACACCCCCGGCCCGAGAGCCCCCCCCTCATCTTGAGCAGGGACCGACCGTCCCGTCATTCCTGTAGGCCTACCACGACAAACTCTTAGAACCTAAATCTGTTTTAAGAGCGAAAGCGATGTCTCTAGAGCAGAATGTGTTAAACACACAGCGCAGCCACAGCCAGAAGCGTTCTGAGAACTCTCCGTGAAAACTACAATAAAAAGGTTCTTGGAACACTGCTTGGCAGGCCTCCGAGGCACGCGCCGGGACGCTCCGCCCCTGCCTGCGGCCCCCGCGGCGCGCGCGCGCGCGCCCCGCGCCTGGAGCTCCGGCTGCGCGCGGGGGCCGCCCCTCGCGGCGGCGCCTCCCGGCGGCGGCGGGCGGCGGGCCCCGAGCGCCCCCCCCCCCCCCCCCGCCACAGGGGTGCTGCCAGGAGTGCCCCGTGGCCCAGGGCGCTTCCCCCGGATGGCCCCTGGGTTAAGTCGGGCGTGTCCCCCTACAGGGGGATTTGCGACGAAGAATAAAGAATACCCCAAGCATACTCCAAGATGGTCAAAAAATACAAAAAATAGTCCCCAGACTATTTTTTACTATTTTTGAATATTCCCCCTGTAGAGGGACAGGCCCGACTTAACCCCAGGGGTCCAGAGCTCAGTGGGCCCTGGAAACGACAGGCCCTTTTTCTCTTTCCGGTTCCGCTTTGCCGGTTTTGTTGCCGGTGCCGACGCGGATTTTTTTTACCGGTTCCGTCGCCGTTGTTTGACCGGTTCCCACTCCGGTTCCAATCCTGTCGCCATTTTTTTTGCCGTTTCCATTTTCAAGCGATATTTTCTGGAAACGGTGAAAAAACGGCCCTGCCGTTTCCGGGGCCCACTAAGGTCCAGGGTGCTGCTGGGATCGGCGGCGAGCGAGGGGGGGAAGCGAGGAGGAGAGAAGGCCTGCTCAGAGGGCGGGTGGACTTCTCAGAGGCCCCCGCGCCCTCTGAGGGGCTTTTTCTGCGTCTTCGGGGAAGGCTCAGGAAACTTCTCAAAGGCCAGGGGACTTCCGAGCCTTCTGGGAAGGCCTTCTCCTTCTTAGTTCCCCCCCTGCTCGCGGCCGATTGGAACACCCCGCAGCCCAATGTGCCCCCAAGATTAGGAGGCCACATGCGAGCCCTCCCCCACCACCCCACGATTTCTAAGAGGGGAGGACACGGGTTCACTCCTTGCTCGGGAGGTCCCGAGTGAAGAGTGAGCCCTACCTCCCCCCTTACAAATCGTGGGGTGGTGGGACAGGGCTCGCATGTGGCCTCCTGAGGATTTCCCTGGAGACCACCCTGCTGATGGCCTCCTAGAGAGCATCCCAACAAATGAGGCCTGAGGACCTGGCCTCATCGACGACGCAGCACTGGCGGTGCATCGTCGATACATCGGCGATGCGCTGGCGCCGCCCCCGCGGAGAAGGCCAGGCTCCACATCGAGCCGCATCGCCGATGCCTCGGCGATGCGGCGCGATCCTCCGAGACCCACCTGGGAGGCCGAGGCACCGAGGCCGCCCGAGCGCCCCAGCACACGGGGTGCGGGGGGGCGCTCCAGGAGGGAGCGGGCAGCGGGGGCACCTCGGGCCGGGGGCACCTTCGGCCCCCCCCGACCTCCTGGCGGCGCGCACGAGTGGCGCAAGGGGGGGGCGGGGGGAAGGCTTCCTGGGAGGCTGCTCCTCAGGAGGCGCCGGGCCCTGCATCTGTGCAGAAGGCCGGGACCTTCTGAGAAGCTGGGGTGCTTCTAAGACTTGGACGCCCGAAATGGGCACGGACAAAAATGGGCACAATGCCCAAAACAACGAATGTTGTCCCAAGCCAACAGCGGCCGCTGTTGGGCAGGCAGCCTTCTCTCTCAAATGAACACAGACCGCGGCGGCGCGGACAGCGAGTCCTGTTCAAAATGAGCAGGACCTGCTGTTGGGTATCGTACCCATTCTTTCCGTACCAATTTCGTTCGTGCCGATAAGAAGCCTTCCCCCCGCCCCCCCACCCCTTGAGCAGGGACCGACCGTCCCGGCATTCCTGTAGTCCTACCACGAACTGTTCTTAGTAATTAGAACCCCAAAATGTTCTAAGAACGAAAACACTGTTCTCAGAGCATAAAGCCGATGTGATAAACCAAGGCCGTCCCAGCCAGCAATGTTCTAAGAACATTCCGTGGGAACCACAAAAGGTTCTTATAGAACATTGTTCGGTAGGGCTATACTGGCCGCCAGGACGCTTCGCCACTGCTTGCACCCCCCCTCTCTGCGCGCGTGGCCGGCGTGGCCGAGGCCCCCCCTCGCCGCTGCCGGCGCCGCTGCCGGCGCCGCGGCCCGCCCCGGCTTCTTGCGGGCGCGCGGGCGTGCCCAGCCGGGGGCACCGGCGAGCACTCCTCCTCCTCCTCCTCCTCCTCCTCCTCCTCCTCCTCCTCCTCCTGCTCCTCCTCAGCAGGAGGGCCGGGAGAGCACTGTCGGCAGGCAGCTGGTGCGGGGAGCTCTCGGGAGGCTCGAGCTGGGCACTCCCGATGTCGTAAGAGAAGGGAGGGGGTCTGGACCCTCCCAGACGAGCCATTTCAGACCCCCCCCCCCCCGTGGGAGAACCCTCCAAAACATCGTCCCCAGACCCCCCCAAGGCCCTCCAAGATAGCCTGGAAGAGACCCCCCCTCGAAATGAGACCCCCCTCCTATTATTACGAAATCTGGAGTACAGGCAACCCGCATAGTGAGGATGCGCGATCAGGATGCAAGGCCCTTGGAGGCCCATCTCGAAGTTTTCGAGCGGGGCGCGGCCAACGAAAGTGGCCAAGGATGCACCGGGGAGGCAAGGATGCAAGGGTACCCTTAGGAAGGTTGCCCATCCTTACTATGCGGGTTGACTGTACGATGCCCAACAACAAATGCTGTCCAAGACCGAAAGCGGCCGCTGTTGGGCAGGCGGCCCTCTGTCTCAAGAGGACAGCGTCCACGGCGGCGCGGACAGCGAGTCCTGCTCAAAATGAACAAGAACTGCTGTTGGGCATCGTACTCATTCTTTCCGTGCCGAATCTACTGGCCCGGGTCAATCCACACGCAAGTCAATCAGGCTTTGCAGGCTCCTGCAAGGATCCGCGAGAGTCCTGCAGGGTCTTGCACGCTAACCTGGCTCAATGCGCCCCTGGCTCCGGAGGCCCGGCAAGATCCAGCGCTCTGGCTGACCCCCGTTTGCATAGACCCCCGGATCAAGGCCCCCGGCTGGTTCGTGTCGTGTCGACCCCAACGTTGGTTCCTGACACCGCGGGGATCGTCCGTTTCCGAAACGCCAGATCGTTCAGCATCGACCGAATCTGGGTCGCTGGCGGCGTCCGACGTTGAACGCCGGGGGCGGGGTCGCCGCTGGTCGACACGGCGCGAAGCTACCGTGCGCAGCTGGTGAGCAGCGCGGATGCCAATCTGGTCTGTCGCATCTGCGCAATGAGTTTGCAACAAGCACAAACCACACCCCGTGCGCGCGCGCACACGCAGAGGCGGGGCCGAGCAGGAGGGTGGCGAACGGAAGAGTCCCAAAAGGGGGCAGGAAAGAAAGTCCTAAGCAAACGACACAGTTGTAGAGAATTGTCCCCGCCCTTCCTCCAGGCGGAGGCAGAAGAGGAGGAGAATGAGGAGGAGGAGGAGGAGGAGGAGGAGGAGGAGGAGGAGGAGGGGGAGAAGGAGGAGGAGGACGCGGAAGCTACCCCGTCACCCCAGGAAGGTCCCCCCCCGTTCCCGCGTGTTCTTTCGCTTACTTCTTGCAGCTAACCCAATTAGATCCCGCGCCCCCCCCCCCCCAGCGGCAACGGCCGCTGGGCCGGGGGCGGAGGCAGCGCCGGCTAACAGGTACCCGTGCCAGCAACCCTTGGCATCGAAGAGGTGGCGGACGGATCGGGAGCTCGGATTGAACCCGAAAGGTGCGTCGGATCGAGCCGCATCGGCAAGGAGTCGCAGCCAACTCGGAGCGGCTGCGCCATGATGCACAACACCATGCCGATGTTGGACTGCGCCTGCTCGTCAAGCAGATCGGGCTCGCATCGCCACGTACCGCACGGAATGGACATTGAAAGGAGGAGGAAAAGAGCGGACAGAAGAAGAGGAGGAGGAGGAGGAGGAAGAAGAAAAGGAAGAGGAGGAGGAGGGGAAAGGAACAGAATGGCTATCGAGCGGACTGATCGGAAAGAGCGGACGAAAGGAGGAGGAAGGGGAGAGGGTGGGCCGAGCAGGAGGAGGAACCATAACCTCGCCCTTTGAGTGACTTGAGTGTAGCGCGTCGGGGGCGTCGAGAAGCGCGAGGCACAATCGCTCCGTCACACGGCCTGCGGGCCGTCTTGGGCGGCCTGGGAACTGGGGGCGCTCAGGAGGGGGCGTCCAAGAGGCGGGTTCGCAATGATGATCACCCTCCTCTTGGACGCCCAAGAAGGAAAGCCCACGGCAGGCCCTGGGATATTCGTTGCCAGCAGGGCGTGCCCGTTCGGGGCACGGGCCCCAGGTGCCCTGGCATAGCATTTCTACTGACCACCAAAAGCTGAAGAATCCGGGAGACAATGACCGAGCAGGCACGTCTTACCTACAGGAACCCGCCTTGCGACACTGAGCAATGCGATGTAGAATCACTGCCACGGCATTGCAAGGACGCGCAGCTCAAAACAAGAAGGCTGATGCAATACCCGCCCCTCGGCGCGCATGCCGAAGCGAGTGTCTGCATAGAATCGGCAATCGAGAATCAACACGTGGTGATGATCAAACAAAAAAGTGCGCAACAGCCGGGAACATAACACGAGCCACCAGATGGTCTCGTGGTCTGGAAGTCCACCAGAACACCATACCACAAGACCATCAGGCCAGGTCTGGCAGTCTGGCGGACCACTGGACCACCAGACCACCGGACCGCCAGACCAGGTCTGGTGGCCTGGCGGACCACCCGACCACAAGACCACAAAACCACCAGACCAGGTCTAGTGGTCTGGCGGACCACCAGACCACAAAACCACCAGACCAGGTCTGGTGATCTGGCAGACCACCAGACCACCAATCCAGGTCTGGTGGTATGGCGAACCACCAGACCACCAGACCACCAATCCAGGTCTGGTGGTCTAGCGGACCACCAGGCCACCGGACCACTAGTCCAGGTCTGGTGGTCTAGCGGACCACCAGACCACCAGACCAGGTTTGGTAATCTGGCGGACCACCAGACCACCAGACCACCAGACCACTTCGGGACCCTCCAACTGCACTGACGCCCGGGTCGGGGTCGCTCGCCCCACCTCGGAGTCACTTCTGGAGCCCGAGGTGCGGGGACGCGATGCGGCGGAACACTTGCCCCGCAACCTGTACAGTGAAAAAGACGTGCCCCTGGAGCTTCGGAGCCTGCTCTGGGCGACGACCGAGCTGTGCTGCACGACGTCGGCCCTGTGAGGCCAGATCCACAGCTTCTGGCCGGCCCGTGGTGCGCTCGACGAGCTGCGCGGCACATGCATCGAGGGGGGCTCGGCCTGGCATTATGTCGGGCCTGTCCCCCTACAAAGGGATTTTCGACGAAAAATGAAAGATACCCCAAAAATATTCCAAACATACTCGAAAAATAATGTGGGGACTATTTTTTGAATATTTGTCTTACCTTTTGGGGGGTATTTTTGGGGTATCTTTTATTTTTCGTCGAAAATCCCCCCGTAGGGGGACAGGCCCGACTTAAGCCTGGCAGCGAAGACGCCGCAGCACTCTGCCGCGCCAGGGGCGCCCCCCTCTCAGAGGTACCCCCGCAGCGAGGACGGCGGCTGGTGCTGCAGCAGCCAGAGCCGCTCGCACGCCGTGGCGGTCTCGTTGTAGTACGGGCCCACCGGCTCGTCTCCGGCCCGGACCGCGAGCACGCGGGAGGCAGACGAGACACCGCTGGCGATGCCCGTGCTCACCACCCCGACCCTGAAGTAGTAGTAGGGCTCCTCTCGGGGGCGCGAGGCATACACTGACTACCTACCAGACCACCCCAACCCAACCCGAAGACCCGAACTTCGGGTTGGGGGGGTAAGGATTCCACATGTGTTTTTTCGATGTTTCCCGACCCCCCACCACTGGAAATCGAGGGTAAATCTGAGCCTTCGGGTTGGGTTGGGGTGGTCTGGTGGGTGGTGATACACGCGTCCGCGGCCTCGCGTTCTGGGCCCCGGGGGCCGCGGCCGGGGCGCGTCTCCGCGGATGCCCCGCCCGGGGCGCAGCCGTGCGACCGCCCATCCGCGGGATCGCGCCCCGGAATCCAGACCGCGAGGGCGCGGATGCGGACAGGTTCGCCGCTCGTGAGCTCCTCGCCCGACGCCGGGGCCTGTGGCAGCGGGAAGACCTCGAGCAGGAGTCGACTGCAGAATGGATTTACCCGAGAAGCGAAATCCCCGTCGAATCTACGGAAACAAAAACGTTGAACGTTTTGTAGGTCTACGAACCTTACACGTTTGCGTCCCGTTGTTTCGACAACCGATCATTCTTGGGCAAATTCAATATGTTGTCGATCCCCGTACAGTCAGCCCATATCATCATGATACACGATAAGGATGCAAGGGCCTTGGAAGGCCGTTTCGAAGGCTTTCGGGCGGGGCGGGGCCAACGAGCGTGGCAAAGGACGGGCCGAGAAGGCAATGATGCAAGGGCACCCGTGGGAAGGTTACCCATCCTTACTATACTGAGCATCGTTTAACCGATCCCCATCCCCACCAGCGTGGGCTGGGCCCCACTGGTCGACTTACCCCCCTGGATGGGGATACAGGCTGCTCTCTTCGTGTTTCGAGGGGCATATCCCAAACTGAGCTGGTGAGACGCGAGATGTGGACGGGGATGGGGATAGGTATCTGTTAAACGATACTGATATGCGGGTCTACTGTAGTCGATTCCCACACTCGACAACCTGGGACCGGTCGTGGCCGCGGTAGACCTCCACGTGGTTCATCTCGACGACGACCTCCGGCGGCGCCGCCCAGGGTCGGCGGCGAGCGAGTGGGGGAAGTGAGGAGTAGAAGGCCTTCTCAGAGGGCGGCGGGACTTCTCAGAAGCCCTCGCGCCTCCTGAGAGGTCTGTCTCTGTCTTCGGGAAAGGCTCCGAACACTTCTGGAGGCCAGGGGGACTTCCGAGCCTTCTGAGATGGCCTTTCGCTTCTCGCTTCCCTCCCTCGCTCGCCACCCACAAGGGCATCGCTCGGCCGTCCGTTCCCTGTGTTTTTTTTCGGTTTCGTGCGTGGTTTTTTCGCCAAATGATCAAGGGTGCTCATCGACGGCCCTCGCCGAAGAAAAAATGCACACGTCCGAGCGATGCCAAGCCCACAGGGGGGTGAAGAAGCGGGGCGAGGGCGAGGGGCGCAAGAGAGGGGGGCAGGGGGGGGCAGCTCTCGAGGCGCAGAGAGTGCACCACTCGAGCAGGGGATCGACTACATAGTCGGGGAGGGAAGAGGGAGGAGGAGGGAGGAGGGAGGGGGGAGGAGGGAGGGAGGAGGGAGGAGGTAGGGGGGAGGGGGGAGGAGGGAGGAGGGCGATGCACCCTAGGGTTGATTTTCCGCCGAGTCTTCGAGCGAGTGGGCAGGGTGCTCTCTGCGGGGCCTTCGGCGTACTCTTTTCCTCAGGACCCCGACGAACAAAATCAGCCTGAGCACAAACCAGCTATGCAGATGCCTCCGAGACCGCCCTAAAACGGCCCCATCGGCTCCCAAACCGGAAGAGACACTTCGAACCTTCGGCCCCAATACGCCCCCAACGTGCCCCAGGGACCCCCAGGACCCCCCCAAGAAAAACAAAGGGGTCGGCGGTGTGGCGTAAGCCTAAGAATCCGCCCTGCAGTCGACCCCCTGCTCGAGCCATGTGGGCATCGGCTGTCGGCGGAGCTCCGCGCGGGCCCCCATGTCCCGGAGCGGAGCGCGCGGGGAGGGGCGCGGGCGCCGCTCCGGGAAGCCCGATCGCGGAGCTCCGAGAGGCCACGGGGGACGAGGAGGAGGAGGAGGAGGAGGGGGAGGAGGAGGAGGGGGAGGAGAGGGGGAAGGAGGAGGAGGAGGAGGAGGAGGAGGAAAGAAGAATCGATACAACATCGGACCGGTAGACATCGGACATCTCGAAGACAGATGTGTGTATGTAATTCTATACACATGTGTATCGCGGGTTTGGAAGAACCGTCGGAAGCGGCGGCCGTTCCAGAGCGTTCCGGAACGCTCCGAGAGCGTCTCGGAGCGCCCCGGAACGGACTGATCTCGATTCGAGGCCTGCTTTCCAAGAGGGTGGCGGAGGTATCTTTCGATGTATCGGATTTACCTCTCGGTCACAAGGGTTCGGTGGCAACTCATGGGAACCTCCCGTACCCTTTTGTCGGCTCTTGCGAATCGCTAGTCGACGCTAATCGATACTACATCGACGCTCATCGACGCTAGCCGACGCTAAATCGGCGTTATCTCATCGACTCCCAGACGCCAATCGACGCTAATCGACGCTAAAGACGGAGCTAAAAGGATACCCATCGGTCGGAAGAAGTAGGTAGAGACATGAAGTAGGAAGGCGTTGAAGTAAATTGGATCTCTGCCCGCCCCCTGCAGAGGACAAGACATGGGAAGCCACCCGATCATTGAAATAGAAAGGCGCCTAAAGTAGACTGGAATCTGGGACTCCAGAATTACCTACTGTCAAAGACCGATGGGCAAGAAGGTATACTCGGCGGTGGACAAACCTCTCTTTAGTAAACCTCCCCTAGTGAAAACGGCCTGGGACCGAAACCGGCGGACCTGGACCCGCAAAAATGACTGCCGCGACGCCCTCTCGCGAACCGAAGACGGCCAACTCCTTAAATCGACGTGTCAGGGTAGGAGGTCTGTCCATCCCAGATATATCAGGCTCCCACGATTTGCTACCGAGCAAGGAGCGCTGGCCTGAGGCCCCCGTCGCCCTCAGGGGCCAGACGGGCCTCCGAGAAGCCCACCTTCCACTGCTTGCAGGGCCACCCTGCTCGCCACTCGCCCCCGCCCCGGCCCCCCGCCCGCACCCGGACGGCAGTGATGTTGGGTCGGGCATGTCCTCCACCTCCTCCTCCTCCTCCTCCTCCTGCTCCTCCTGCTCCTCCTGCTCCTCCTGCTCCTCCTCCTCCTCCTCCTCCTCCTCCTCCTCCTCCTCCTCCTCCTCCTCCTCCGCCTCCGCCTCCGCCTCCGCCTCCGCCTCCGCCTCCGCCTCCGCCTCCGCCTCCGCCTCCGCTCCGCCTCCGCCTCCGCCTCCGCCTCCGCCTCCGCCTCCGCCTCCGCCTCCGCCTCCGCCTCCGCCTCCGCCTCCGCCTCCGCCTCCGCCTCCTCCGCCTCCTCCTCCTCCTCCTCCTCCTCCTTCCTCCTCCGCCTCCTCCTCCTCCTCCCCTCCTCCTCCCCCCTTCCTCCCTCCTCCTCCTCCTCCTCCTCCTCCTCCTCCTCCCTCCTCCTCCTCCTCCTCCTCCCCCTCCTCCTCCCCCCCTCCCCCTCCTCCTCCCCCTCCTCCTCCCCTCCTCCTCCTCCTCCTCCTCCTCCTCCTCCTCCTCCCTCTTCGTCTCCTCCTCCTCCTCGTCCCTCCCCTCGTCCTCCCCCTCCTCCTCCCCCTCCCCCTCCTCCTCCTCCTCCTCCTCCCTCCTCCTCCTCCTCCTCCTCCTCTCCTCCTCCTTCTCCTCCTCCTCCTCCTCCTCCTCCCCCTCCTCCTCCCTCTCTCCTCCTTCCTCCTCCTCTTCCTCCTCCTCCTCCTCCTCCTCCTCCTCCTCCTCCTCCTCCTCCTCCTACAGGCGGATTTTGCAAGGAAAGTGAAAACAGCCAAGAATGATAAAACATGCCCAAAAGATGCACGACAAATCGTCCCACTATTTCGACAGAGACTATTCTACACTGCTCCTCCTGTAGAAAGGACGTCTCCGACTTAACATTGACGCCGTGATGCGATTGACCCAGGAAACTTTCCAAAACTCCGGACCGCCTGGCGGCTCTCGGCTCTGGAGCTTGTTTGGGACGACCGGAAATCCAGAAAATCTTTGACTGCTGGGACACATTGGAACGCATGCCATTACCATGACAAGAAGCCCTCCGAGATGGGCTCCGAATAAATGGGGTCTGACGGTCGCGCCGCATCGCCGACGTATCGGCGCCGTCGGCGCGGAGAAGAGCGGGCTCCACATCGAGCCACATCGCCGATGCATCAGCGATCCGGCGCGATCCTCCGACCACATGCGGGCGCGAATGGATGGGGGCGGCGACATATGGGGGGGGGGCCCTTCTCGGGCCGTGGACGCCTCCTTCTGGGCCCTCAAAGGCACCCTTTAGGAAACCCTCGCTGCCCCCCAATTTGTCGTCCCCCCATTTATCGCCGCCCAAAAACATTTGCTGCGGCCCCATCCTGTGGTCGGCCTGGGCACCGCGACTGTCATTTGACGCGCCGCCGCCGAGACCTGCGGGCCTTCCTCGCCCGCGGCCGAGCAGCTGCTGCCGTCCACCTCGTCGGCGGGCGCCCACGACAGCCGCACGGCCCGCTCTTCGGCGACCGCGCCGACGTCAGTCCAAAGGACGGCGGCGCCCAATGAGCTGGTGTCCACGGTCCCGGCGGTTGGGTACCGCCCAGCGCCGACGCTCCTGGGAGGGGCTCGCAGTATACATTACGTCGTTTGGTCTGCCGCGGGGCTCGGTGAGCATCGATGATACTCAGAGTGTGTGCTAGCGCCAACGTGTGTTTGTCCGCCGAAGCCCCTCGGTACGACGCAGGCGGCGTAGCGAAGGCCCGCACGACCTATGTGCGAATTTCAGTTTGTGATGGACAAATCCGCGGGGGGGCGCGCATTGATTTTCTAAGTGTCCGGGGCGCGCGTTTTTTTTCCTACGTGCCCCTGCTCGGGCGAATCGCGGGATGGCGCCCGTCATATTGGAAATAAACGGCGGCGGCGCCGGAAATTACCGCCGACGCGAACGAAGCCGCTAGAGCTGCTTGGCGGGCCCGCGAGCAAGGCGGGCTGGACGAAAGGGGGGCGTGGCCAAGAGGAGATTTGCGAAGCAGCTCACGTTGTTGATTTTCCGAGCGCCTCCTGGCGCCGAAAACGGCCGTGCATCGAGCAATGGCCTCTCGGCGGGGCGATCGAAACAAGCTGCGCGCAGCAGGTTTCGCAACACCCCGCTCCTTCCCCAGCCTCTCGTCTGACCCGAAGCGGGCAGTCCCCCGTCTGTCGCGGTGTGTCCGTAGTCGTCGTCGACGACGACGACGAGCAGGCCCGGTGTTGTCGACGACGACGATGATGAAGACGATGACGAGGACGATGACGAGAAAAACGAGGATCAGGACGAAGACAAGGACGGACGGCGGACGGCGGACGGCGACGGCGACGACAAACTGCGGATGCCCTATGGGAGGGGGGGGTGAGCAGGTCCGCTGTAATCGCCGTCGACGGCGGGCGGCGGCGGCGGCGGCGGCGACGACGACGACGACGACGACGACGACGACGACGCACCGCGGATGCCGCACAGGCGGGGTGCTGCGCAGGCCCCTAACTGTAGTCGACGACGACGACGCCGACGCCGACGCCGACAAAGAACGACAACAACGCACTGCGGATGCGGCATGGGGGGGGGCTGCGTAGGCCCGCCGTAGTCGTCGACGACAACGACAACGACAACGACGACGACGACGACGACGACGACGACCCCTGAGAGAGAGAAACAAACTCGCCTCGGATGTATACGACCCCAATATCAACTCCTATACGAAAGGCCGTCGTTTTGAGGCTGTCATGCAAAGGGGGTGCACGATCCCCCCAGCGGCGCCCGCGACGACCCCCTTGCGCGCGAGACTGACACAAATGTCTCGCGCTCCGCGGGGTCTACTCATCAGCCCCGGGGGGGGGAGGGGCCATTTGCTAAACCACAAGCTGACATCACCAGGGAGTTCAACGGGGTAAACATGGATAAACGCACACACACATACATACATACATACATACATACATACATACATACATACATACATACATACATACATGCATACATACATACATACATACATACATACATACATATATACATACATACATACATACATGCATACATACATACATACATACATACATACATACATACATACACGCACAATACACACACACGCACGCACGCACGCACGCACGCACGCAAGCACGCACACACACAAACACACACACACACACACGTCCCGAGGAGCGTCGAGTACAGACACCCGCGCTGCCCGAGCGATGGGAGGCTGGAGCGCCTGCATGCCAGACTCCCTCGCGCGAGCGGGTGGCTTCGTGGCCGACCACCCGACGCGGTGCCTACAGTGGAGGCCAGCCAACAAGAAAAACCTTCCACAGGACACCCACCCCTGAGACCCCAGGACGCCCATCTCGCCATCGCTCAGACGTCCATTCCCTGTGTTTTTTTCGGTTTCGTGCGTGGTTTTGTCGCCAAATGATCAAGGATGTCCCTCGATGGTCCTCGCCGAAGGAAAAATGCACACGTCCGAGCGATGCCAAGCCATGGATCTTTGGTGTGGGAGCGTCACGCCTGGCACAGCAAGAGCCCTGGAAGCCCGAGAAACCCGGGGGCACCCTGGAGGCCAGCAGGGTGCCTCTTGGCATGGCCGGGGATCTTCTGGCCCAAATCAATCCAGACCCGGGTCAGCAGGAAACCAATTACCCCAGTGCGACCCTACCTAGAAGTTGGAGCCCCTAGGAAAGCAGCATTAGTTGCTATGCTATGCGATGCTATGCTATGCCATGCTATGCTGCGCTATGTTATGCTATGCTATGTTGCGCTATGCTATGCTATGCTATGCTATGCTATGCTATGCTATGCTATGCTATGCTATTATATGCTGAGGTGTGCTATGCTGTGCTGTGCTGTGCTGTGCTGCGCCATGCTGGGCTATGCTATGCTATGCTATGCTAATATATGCTGGACTATGCTATGATATGCTGTGCTGTGCTACGCTGTGCTATGCTATGCTATGCTGTGCTCTGCTATGCTGAAGCTCAGCGAAGCTAATATGAAGGTAAGCTAAGCTAAGATAAACCTGTGCTAAGATGAAGCTAAGCTAAGCTAAGCTAAGATGAAATAAGCTAAGCTAAGATGAGATAAGCAACGCTAAGGTAAAAGGACGTAACTGGGGGAACCGCGGGGCGGATCCTGGGGAACCGCCTGGGGCGAGGACCACTGCCCGGCCCTTTAAGCTCTAAAGTAAGCAACCTTCTAGGCAGAGCCTAGGTAGGGAAAAGCTGCAGTGCAGGAAAGAAACCTGCAACGCAGGTCTTCGCAAGCCCGGGTCAGCAAATATGTGCGCGGCCGCCTCGCGGCAACGAGCGGCTCGCGAACCCGGGTCATCCAGAGGAGGTCTTCGCAGGATCCCTGCAGGATTCGGTGCCCTGGCCGACCCCCTTTTGCATTGACCCCCGTCTCTACAGCCCCGACAGGGGCTCCCACTGTCCATCGGGCGTTGGCAGAACTGGGTTTAGTTGGACCTGGCTTAGTGATGTGTACTGGGGGGCGCCCCGTTCCGCTAACCGGAACGGCCGTCACCCGAAAAAACACAGGTTATGGCAGACCTGGCTTAGCAATTCTGGCCAAGTTAGAGGCTCCGGGGCCTCACTACTAACCGGGTCCCCTTACTGGGGGGCGGAAAGATACGGATACGTGTTGTCCCCGGACCTCTCTTGGGGTGCGTTCTGACCAGAATTTCGAGGCGAATCCAGCGGTGACAACGAGGATTCACCAGGAGGACCAGGAAAGGGCGAAAACGAAGGGGGACGACACGTATCCGTATCTTTTTCTCCCCCGACCTTACCTGGGATCCTGGCCATACCCGAGTCTGCACCGGGCCCCTCCGAGCTCCAGATGGGGATGCCCGCCGGCTCGCCCCACCGCGCCATGCCGTTGATGAACGCCCCGAGGCTCAGGGCCCGCACCACGGCGGCGGTGCGGGAGGGGCCCCGGGCGGCCAGGTAGCCCAGGAGGCCGACGAAGTAGTGGTGGAGGTGGATGCCGTAGTCCTGGGTCGAGAATGCTGTTGCTCCCATCGCAGTGGAGGACCACATCCCCGAAATAACTTCGAGCGCCCAGGAAAGTTTCGAGCCGTTGTCGAACGAGTATCGCCTCCCCGGGCCCGACACGCGAAAACCCTCCAGTTTCAGTACGTGCGTGGTGCTCGAAATTCTTTCTGGTGCTCAAGGCTACAGCAGGTTGGAACATCACAAGTCGAGAACTAAGACGAAGCCAGGACGGGGCTAACATCGAGTCAAGAGAAATCAAAATTTCTCTGAGATCCGGCGGCTCTGGAGGAAGTCTCGGGCGCCGCGGCCTTCTCAGAGCATTCCAGAAAGCACTCAGAGCGCTCCGCAACGCTCTGGAGCGGATCTAGCCTCGTGATAGCCCCGCCCTGCGGATATCGTAGTCCTGGGTCGAGAACAGCAGCGTGAGCAACACTGTGGCGATCACGCAGGCCAACGTCTTGAGGGCAAAGCGGCTCAGCTTGCCGGCGCGATGCCAGTCACGGAGGATCACGACCGCGCTGGGGACCACCAGCAGCACGCCCACACAGTAGACCAACAGCCCGATCTTGTCCCGTGCCTGGAACAGGGCACCTGTGAGATCGTAGTCTCCGACCACAAAAGCCAGCAGCTGGATGTGCAGGGACGGCATCATCGGCAACACCTCCAACGTCAGCACCTCCAGGGGGGCCCCGAGCGCCGTGTCCGGGAAGAACACCTTCGCCCCGCCCACGTCCCAAAGCAGCACGTGCGCGGCCAGGGCGTACAGGGCGAAGATGCCCAGGCTCTGCATCACACCTGGGGAAACCCAAAGGTACCCATACCGCTACTCCCCGGTCCTCTCCTCCAGTGCGTTCTGACAAAGATTTCGAGGCGAATCCAGCGGTGGCGACGAGGGCCTCCCAGGAGGCCCGACAAGAGGAAAACAAGGCAAGGATAGAGGTATGTGTACCTGCCATGCCTGACATGCCATCCTGTCGGCTCTTCCGAATCGACGCCAATCGACGCTAAATCGACGCTAATCGACGATACATCGACGAGAATCGACGCCAACCTACGCCGAATCGGCGCTACCTCGCCGACTCCCAAACGCTTATCGACGCTAACCGACGCCAAAGACAGAATTCAGAGGGTATACCAGGCTCCCATGATTTCATCCTCCGAACGCCGTCGGAGAAATAGGAGGCGGAGGAGGAGGAGCAGGAGGAGGAGGAGGCGGAGGAGTAAGAGGAGGAAGAGGAGGAGGAGGGGAGGGAGGAGGGGAAGGAGGAGGGGAAGGAGGAGGAGGAGGACCTCCCCATCCTCCCTTCTCCCTGCCCTACCCGTGGTAGTGGTGGAAGATTGGCCCGTCGACGCCTTCCATGTCCTGGCCGCCGTTCCCCCCCAGGGCGCAGTACCAGAAGAACGCCACGACCAGGCACCACTAGCAAAGCCGCCGCCCTGGCCGGAGGAGCGTGAGGCCCACCGGCAGCGCCGCGCTGAGCAGCAGAAGTCCCCACCTGAGGAGCGGCACGAGGACCCCCAAGCCCTCTGGGAGGGGACCTAAGTTAGGAGGACCAAGAGCATCAAGGAGGGGGCCTAGGTTAGGAGGGGACCTAAGTTACGAGGACCTGACCCTCTGAGAGGGAACCTGAGTCAGGAGACCTAAATTCAGAGGGGAGACGTAAAATTCGGGTACGGGGGACTCGAGTTGGCCTGACGGGGCCATCGTGAAAATGACGAGACCCAGACTGAAATTTGGCGCGAGCTCCCGCTGCAGACATCCCACGAAAACCAGGCTGTCTAAATCCAGGACGCGATCGTCACAAAACGTCGGCAAACCCCAGTCCCGACTTACTCGAATCTTACGCTTCCCCGACAAGATCATCAGGGATAGGGGGTCTCCCCTGCAGATCCATCAGACCAAACCGCCCAGATGTACCATCCCTAATGCGATAGGCTTAGGGGTCCTTTCGTTCTCGATGACCACCATCCCCCGTAGCCGCAGTGCACGGCACCGACGGCGGGGGCGAGCTCCAGGCTGAACGGGTACCTGAGTAGGGATCCACCAAAGAGGCCCTGAGGGGGGAGGCATGAATTCGATCCGCTGGTGCACCGAACTGCCGCAAACAGATGCCCCCCGCATGCCCCACCCATCGGCAACTTTCGGGAGCTGCCGGCGGCTGGAGGGCATCTGTTTGGGGCGGTTCGGTGTAAAAGCAGATCGACCTCTCTCTCTCTCTCTCTCTTTCTCACGCACACACAAACCCTGTGGCACACACATCCTTTGCGGGATCCCGAATGATGCGGGTGGACCGGGTCGACCTGGGATCGGAGATACATCGCGGACCCGAAGATGTATATGGCGGGGTGGCCCACGAGACCCCTATTGGCGATGAGCGGGTGATTGGGGGTCGTTGCTTCTCCCTGAGCCCATCCCCTCCTATCGTCGCCCGTGAAGCGGCTACACGCAAGAAGTGTAGCCAAACCTGGGCGCGCAAGCCGCTGATCCCCCCTATCGTCGCCTGTGAATCGGCTACGCGCAGAAAGGGTGGCCAAACCCGGGCGCGCAAGCCGCTGCTACCGCTTCGCGTTCGGAGATCGGGGGACCCAACTGGGCCCGCATCGGAGGTCACTCCGGCGAAAGGCCACTCACTCTTTGGGGGATCCAAAAAATACTGATACCGCTACTCCCCAGAACTCTCCCGGGGTGCGTTCTGACCCGGATTTCGCGGCGAATCCAGCGGTGGCGACGATGGAGGCCCAGGAGGCCCAAAAAGAGCAAAACGAGGGGAGCGTAGAGGTATGGTTACCTTGTCCTCCTCTGATCTTTCACGCCTGGCCGGGTGAGCACCAGGAATCGAAGGCGACGCTGGTCACCCCGTGGCGCTCCCCGCCCGCGAAGCCCTCCGCCGCGCCAGCGGGCCGCAGCCGGAGGCAGCCGCCCCCCACACCCACGAGGCCGGCGTACACGCCCGCGGTGCACACCCGGGAGTCCGGGCGAAAGGTGATGGGGCAGTGTTCCACCACAACTACCAACAGGTAGGACGGGGGAAGAGGGAGGATGGGAAGGTCCTCCTCCTCCTCCTCCTCCTCCGCCTCCTCCGCCTCCGCCTCTTCCTCCTCCCACCTCCTCCTCCTCCTCCGCCTCCTCCTCCGCGCCTCCTCCTCCTGCTCCTCCTACTCCGCCTCTTCCTCCTCCCTCGTCCTCCTCCCCTCCTCCTCCCTCCTCCTCCTCCCGCCTCCTCCTCCTCCTCCACCGCCTTCTCCTCCACCGCCTCCTCCTCCTGCTCCTCCTCCTCCTCCTCCTACTCCTGCTCCTCCTGCTCCTCCTCCTCCTGCTCCTCCTGCTCCTCCTGCTCCTCCTGCTCCTCCTGCTCCTTATGCTCCTCCTCCTCTCCCTCCTCCTCCTCCTCTTCCTCCTCCTCCTCTTCCTCCTCCTCCTCCTCCTCCTCATCCTCCTCCTCCTTCCCCTGGTAGCGATGGTGGAAAACCTGCCCATCAGAAGGGGCCGCTGCCCACCACGGGTACGCCGAGGGGGTCGGACTGCGACTGCGCGCACCAGCCGTCGCACCTCGGCGCGCGGAGTGGGGAGCAACCTCCCCAGGTTCCCCTCGGGGGCGGCCAAGAGGGGGCGGCCAAGAGGGGGGGCACAAATCATGGCCGGCTGCATGTGCGCGGCCCAGGGGGGTCCAGGGACGCGATGAAATAAGAAGAGGCGCCATGAAATCGGAGGAAATATCATGGCCCACGCCATGATATCCACCCTCGCCTAGTCATCACCCCCCTCTCGGCAGCCCCCGAACCCCTCGAATCAGGTCTTTCATTGTTTTCGGCCTACGGGGGTCCTCACCGGGCCTCGGGACCGTCAAGAAGCGACTCAGGATGAAAAGCCGGTCCCGGGGAATGGGTCGAGACCTCTGGGGGTCGGCATCATGAAAAAATCATGACGTCGGGGGTCTGGGCCTGGGAGGTTTCCGTGAACACGATGGGGGCCGTGAGGCCCAGAAGGGGGGGCCACCAAGCCAGACTACGCGGGCCGACGTGAAGTAGACGGGATCAGGCCAGGTCAGGCCTTTTTCCGACCGCAGAGATACCAGCGCCAATGCTGAATTGACCTCCAAAGAGTTGCACCCTAACGCGGGCGGGGGTGGGAAAGTGTGGCCGGCGAGGGAAGCGGGCACGGCAGGTGCACGTCGTGTCGGCGGGGGGCGTTGGCGTTTGGCTGGCACTGCGCGGGTCGCTCAGCATGGAGCGATCGCCCCACGTCGCTCGATGCCAAGCCACCTCCTGGGCATCTGGCGGCTTCCAGCCCTCGGGCGCTCGCGCTCGCGCTCGCGCTCGCCTCGAGGCCCCGCTCGCGGCGGCATCTTCACGGACACGGCTCGCGCGCCGCAGCCCGTCGGCCACGCCCCGTGGAACCCCACGACTGCTGGCCTGCGTCGCCCGTGGGAGAGCCGGTGATCCTCAGCAGAACCCGTGCTCGCGCCAACGCGTGCTTGCCCCGAAGCCCTCCAACACGACGCGGGCGGCACAGGGAGGACCGGCGCGAGCTGCGAGCTGTCGGCGGAGCTGGAGAAGGGGACGGACTCTGGAAGGGGCAGTAATCGCCCCCCCTTGGATCCGCTGGGGAAGTTGGGCACGCGCTGTCGGAACGGGCGGGTGGAGGGAGGGTTGGAGGAAGAGGAAGAGGGTGAGGAGGGGCAGGAGGATGGAGGGGGGCGGGATTGGGCAAGCTCAGTTGTAAGGCAAATCGCCCCCCTTCGATAAACACCTCATCCAGAGGAAACACATTGGGCTAACACACGTCCCGAGAATCCTCGAGCAGAGCGGCACGCGGGTCCTGGACCACCACCCCAGGGCCTCCCCCAAGGCCAGCCCGGGGGACGCAAGGGTGGGGCAAGGAGCAGGAGGAGGAGGACGAGGAGGAGGAGGAGCGCCCAGAAGAATGAAGTGTGAACACCAAGCAGGGTTCGTTCCCTGACCCCACCTTGGGATAACGCTCCCTCTCCGAACCCCCGAAGCAGCCCTGCATCTCGGGGGCGTCCAGTGAGGGGCGCGCGGGGGGCGCAAGTCATGGCCTGCGGCACGTGCGCGGCCCAGAGGGAGGGGGGGCGGGGACGCATTGGAATAAGAAGAGGCGCCGTGAAATCTGGGGAGATGTCATGGCCACCGCCATGACATCCCCCCTTCCAGTCATCCCCCCCCCTTCTGGCCGCCCCCGAGAACCAGCCCTTCGTCCCGAGCAGCATACTCGTAGCACCGGAGCCGGGGAGGGCCCCCGCGAGGGCAGAGGGCGGCGAGGAGGCGCGGGATCCCCCACAGACCGGGGCTCCTTTCCTTCGCAGCTGCAGGGGCCCAGGAGCACACAAAGACAAGCACACAAATCCCAGGACCCCCCCATCGTTTATCCTACGTTCTGGGTTTTGCCTTCCCCCACCCACTTCCCACGCCTTCCCGTCTCACCCGGGGAATCGATGCTGAATCGCGTCTGTGTGGCTCTTTCCCTACTGATTCCGCACCGCACGGTGACCCAGTCGTCGCTCGGGCCGCAGTCGCCAGAGTCCAGACCGCACCCGCTCTGGCCGAAGGGAACGGTGGCGTACTTCGTCCAGTAGCTGTTGCACTTGAGCGGGATCGGGGCGCCCCCTCTCGGGTCATCGCGCCGCCGTCGCCGTCGCCGTCGCCGTCGCCGCTTGGCCGGGACGGCGCATGCACAGACCCTGGACCTGGCGGGCCCGGCTGGGATCGGTGGCGGTGGATGGACAGCCTCCTCCCACTCCTCCTCCTCCTCCTCCTCCTCCTCCTCCTCCTCCTCCTCCTCCTCCTCCTCCTCCTCGGCGCCCAGAGCCCGCCCTCGCACCCCTCCTGGGGTCCAGCCCTGGTCGCAGCTCGAGCTGTGTCCGGCCGTGGCCCCCGAGAGGCCCTGGTCCCCCAGCGAAGGAGGAGCAGGAGGACTGGCGTGCCAGAGGGGGTCCTGGTGGACGGGGCCCGACCCGAAGGCTCTCACCTGGACCCGTTGTTCCTCCGTCGGTGGCGGCCAGGAGGGGGGCGTCCGAGAGGGGGGGGGCGCAGATCATGGCCAGCGGCACGTGCGCGGCCCAGGGGGGTGGCCAGGGACGCATTGGAGTAAGAAGAGGCGCCATGAAATCTGGGGAGATATCATGGCCCACGCCATGCTATCCACCACCCCCCAGTCATCCCCCCCCTCTTTGCCGCCCCCGAATCCTATCGCTGTTCGACAATCTCGGCGCCCGGGCCGAGCCCTGGGAGACGAACACACACACAGGGGGTAAACTCCAGCACCCCCTTCCTCCATGACTATGTTACCAACGGTGGGGAGGAGGAGGTCGGCATCGTCTGGTCCTTGGCCGTCGTCAGCCG